GTATATTTTCAGTATCTTTAAACTGTCATCAATACTATCTTTCTGAGATATTATAGCCTCTGTTAAATAATGGTAATGAAGAATCAGAAGTCTGAAGTAATGTTACTTTTTAAGCCATCTCTCCTGCGCATTATTTGTGTTTTAAAGAATAACAGCAGCTGCCATTTGAGTTCTTACTATAAGCAAATCATTGAGCTTATCTTTTATTCAGTATTCCATTTTACATCAAATAACTAGTATACATATTATTCTCATTTACTAAACTTCACAGTGCTAAAAATGAAAGCTTAGGCTGTAAAAACCAAAATACTCTCTATTTGATGTGAACTATGTTTTTAAAAAATATAATCATATTTCTTCTGGTATTGCTGCTATAGATGGCCTTTTATTCCATTTTAGGATCTATACTAATGTTGTCTTTTCCACCTCACATACCAAGGCCTCAACACTTTATAAACATTAAAGGAATCGTAAAGTAGTCTTAGTTCTCTGATACCTGTGGTAGCTAGTGTTCAACCTCAGCACAAATCCTACACAATTCTATTTTCACCTGTCATGAAGCCTTAGGATGGAAGTATTTAGTTTCCTGGGAATTAGGAAAGTTACTTCTTAATCCTTTATAATATTTGAACTTCAAGTTACCCTAATTTAGTTACTATCTTTAATAAAAAAATCATCTCATTACCCTTTCCCAATTAAAATATCTAGTCCTTCAAAATCTAGCATAAGTTTACAGACTTTTTACAGTAAAATTCAGTTTTTACATCTATCAGAAGTAAATGTGTACCTACACATTTTTAAGTTGCAGTTACTTTGGGGGTAATAATTCAACATTAGACCCTAGTATAGTGGCACACACCCGTAATCCCAGCCCAGGAGGCTGAAGCAGGAGGATCACCACGAATTTGAGGCCAACCTGGGATACATAGTGCATTCAACTGTAGCCTGAACTACAAAGCAAGACCCAGTTTCAGGAAAAAAATAATGACTTAATAGCAATAATTCAACAGTAGTTCTGCACTTGCTGTAAGCAAGATACTTTATAGATATAAGGATATATGAACTGCTTTACGTTAATAACAATGGTCATAGAATTGCAAATGCAATTTTATCAGGTATATGCTGAATTGGGGAATGCTGAGGTTCGAACTCAAGACCTTGCGCTTTCAAGGCAGGAGTGGTGCCTCTGTGCTAAATCCCCAGCCCATTTATGCTAAATAAATATTGTGCTAGACATTTTACATGTACTATTTGTAGTGCTTAGGACTGTTTTATAGTTTGATTAAACTAAAGCTCAAGGAAGTTTAGAATTTGCACAAGATTACGAGGGGTACAACCATGCTGTGATTTTTTTGTTTTGATTTTTGATTTGTTGTTGTTGTGATTCTTCAGGTATAGTTAGGATGGGGAGGAAGAAATGTAGAGATTATGTAATAGATTATATTCCAGAACCTAATATGGGTGCTGTAAGCAAAGTACAAGCAACACAGAAAGTTTCATAAAAGAAATTTCAGTTTGGGTTATGGTGGAGGTAGCACAAAGGAAGAATTTGAACTGAGTCTTGATTGTATACTGTCAAAGAAGACAGACATTCATCTGAGAGGGCATATTTTAGATTGAAGATGAGAATATATAAGTTGAGGGTCATTTTCAAAGGATGGCAGACAGTTTAATAGTTTTAAATGGCTGTAGTAATGGAAGGAGCACTTAGTAAGAGGTGAGTTTAGAAACAAGAGGTGGCTCAGATTGTGTCTCTCATAGTCTACAGAAAGCCTTTAAAAAGTTAAATCTAGTAAGATTTAATCAATGGATAATCACACTTCTCTTTAAAGCATTCGGGAGTTTTGCTGCTTAATTCAGAGTTGTAGGAAATGAAAGTCCTGAGTTGGATGCCTTGATTCCAATTGTGAGCTCCATCACTGTCTGTCTTTTTTTTTCCTTGTTTTTGTCTTTTGTTTTTCTGGTCAGTACCAGGGATCAAACTGAGGACCTTGTACTTGTGAGGCAGGCACAGTGCCACCGAACTATATCCCTGGCCCTCTTTTTGGTTTTTTTGTTTTGTTTTGTTTTTGTTTTTTGAGACAGGATCCCACTTTGTTTTTCAGGCTCACCCTGAATTCACTATGTAGGCTTCCAAATCATAATGATCCTGCCTCTGCCTCCTAAGTGCTAAGATTACAGGCATGTGCCACCACGCCTGGCTTCCATCACTATTTTGGAAGCTCCATGAAGGCAGTTTTCTAAATTTTATTATAGAGTACCAAGCACAAAGTAGACACTCAAATATTTTTTGGCAAAATAAGAAAGGGGAACTTTGGTGGTATTAAGTCATGAGAACAAAAGTAAAAGCATCTTAGAGTAAGAGAGATGAGAGAAACCAAAGAAGCTGACTTGTTTTAAATTTTACTGAGAACTCTCCTCTCTACTCTGACATTAGATGCTTGCTCTAGAGTAGAGTGATTAGCGTTGGGGGATTTAGCTCATCAACACAGCACCTGCCTGGCAGGCACAAGGTCTTGAGTTCAATCCCTGGTACAAAAAAAAAAAAAAAAAAAAAAAAAAAGGGGGGGAAAAAAAAAAAAATAAAAAAAAAAAAAAAAAAAAAAAAAAAAAAGAGTGGAGTGATACATTAACAATTTGTATCTGCTGTCATGCATTTTCCCAGAAGAATACACTGTGGGTGGGAGTGCAGACTGGTGCAACAGCTATGGAAATCAATATGGAGATACCTCAAAGAACTAGGATTAGACCCAGCTATCCCTCTGCTGGGTATCTTTCTAAAAGAATCATACCACAGTGATATATGTGCACCCATGTTTATAGCTGCACAGTTCATAATATCTAAAACTTGGAAAGAACCCAGATGCCCATCAAATGAAGACTGGATAAAGAAGATGTGTTTTTTCTATAAAATGGAGTACTACTCAGCCATAAAGAATGAGAAACAAATATTTATAGCTAAATGGATGCACATTGAAGCTATACTCTTAAGTGAAATAAATAGGACACACTTGAGTAAATACTGAATAATTTATTTGGTGTGAAAAACTAAAAGTGTAAATAAGGTTCAAATGGTATAATTGAGAGTGTGAAATAGGAAGAAAATGGCTAAAAGGGAAGTGGGAAGGGGAGGGGAAAGGAAATAAGGGAAAAGAAAAAAATGTGGAAAATGAAAAAAAAAAGGAAACAAAGTCTTTGTAAATAGGGAAGGGTGAAGTGCGTGAAGGGAGGGCAGAGGGTATTGGGAAAAAAACAAGAACCAAGATACATCATGTAAAGGTACAAGATCCCAATGATAAATGTTAATTGTACTGTTTGCTTTAAATGTACCAATAAACTTAATGGGGGAAGAAAGAGCTAACACTTCAGCCTCCCAGAGAAATTGTTATCATTTGTTTCAAACGCATTGAACTGTTCTGTTTATAGCTACTTCAACTAGGTATTAGAAAATGATAGTGGGGCAAGGGAATTTTGTATTGATTGGCCAGGAAATAGGCTGTGTATGTAAGGAATTTAAGAAAGCAGAGAGATTTGCAGTGGTGGGAGTGTGGAAAAGATTAGGGAGCGGTACCAAGGGTTACTCTTTAGAATGTCTTCTGTGGCAGTAGATTGGTTCCTTCCCTACCTCTATACTCTTGTGGGTGGTTTTGTGTTGTTTTGTGAGTTTTGTTTGTTTGTTTGTTTGTTTGTTTGAGACAGGATCTCATTATATTGCCTAGTCTTCTGGCCCTGAACACCTAGGCTCAAGTGATCCTTTTGCCTCAGCTTCCCTAGTGCTGGGACTGAAGGCACTTGCCACCATGCCTAGCTAGTAATGTCATAGTATTTTAACTTCTCTGTAGTCTTGCCATATTAATTGAAATTCTGTGTTTCTTTTTCTGCAGCTAGACTGAAAGTTTTCTTGAGTGCAGGCTAACAGCTGTTTACTGATTTTTATTTTTGTGTCTGTATATAGTTAATGCTTAAATGTTTCTTGAGCTTTACTGAAGGAGGCACTGATTTAGGTATCTAACCCAAAGATAGTTTCTTGCCTTCACTGAGCTCATATTCTACTAGTGATGACAAAAGCATAATTATTATAGATTTCCTTTGTATTCTAGTGCTCTTTTCCCTCTCCTCACAGGCAGCATTGGATCTGAATGGAGGAATGGAACTCTACCAGATACTAAGTTTTGCCTGGGGCAAGGGAAGAACATTTCTTCTTCCTTTATCCTATATCAAGTTTCTCTTTACTGTAGGTCTCACTCCTGTGTCTAGTTATATATTTCAGCACAGGACTTATCCCATTTTTCTGAGCAAGACATTCTCAAAATCATATTTATAAGCAAAGTTGTGAAATATAATTTTCTTGTATGTACCACTGACTTACTTAGAATATAGTTTACTGTATTTCCCTCTAGATGGAATTTTAGTAGTATAAGATAAACTATTGGCAAAGTTAGTATATGTTCTGCCAAAGTGAACACACTATTGGCAAAGTTTAAAAACAGTCCCTGACCTTGCTAGTTTCAATATGCTATACTCATCATTAAGCTAATACCAGATAAGTAAGTTGTAAATTTGTGGAAAAGTAATAGGTTAACTACTTTCTAGGACAAATAAATTTAGACAAATGAGACTGAGAATTTGACTGCCATTGAGTACATTTTTAAAAATTAAAAATTTCCTGAGTACAAATTTTGAAATACTAGATCTTGTTTTTCTTGTCAGGCTTTAAAAGTGTGAATTTTGGCTCTTTTAATCACTGACCTTCAACCATAGCCATTAGGCCTGAATTAAATGTTTCTTCTTTTAACCTCTTTGGTGGAATTGGATGTATTAATACCTATGGTTAGGATATTTCCATGAGTGCTCATATTTCAGGAGCAGTACTTTATTATGAATATTCTTAGCAGAGTTTTGAATGACTGTCATGTTACAAGAAGTAATTGAGTGCTTTTATTTTCAACTGTTTCAAAACTATTTTTAATAGTTTAATTTGAAACCACTTTGTTTTTCAGTATCCTGGCCATGAAAAAGAGGACATGATAAGTTGTTTAACTTATGAAATTCAAGTTACATGTGAAAGCTGCCAGGTAAATGCATAATATTTGTTTTATTTAACCATTTTTTATATTTTAAATTATCGTGGACTCTTTCTATTAGATAAATATTTTACCTTCTTTGTATAAATAAGAACCACTTACTAATATGTAGTTTAACTGAACACTCTTGTATTTTTAAATTATCAAATTAAGTACATCAAGGGCAACTTACTTTCTGGTCCCACTTCTGTCTCTCTTAAGCAGAAGCTATCTTTCCCTCAATAAACTTTTCCTACTTAAAAAAAACAAAACAAAACAAATTAAGTACATCAAAACCTACTCAATTCCAAATAAAATTAGTCCCATGAGATGTTCTACAAAAAAGTGTTCAACTTGCAGTGGCCAAAAAGCCATATTCTGAGTCTTGCTAGACATTTTACTTGACTGTGTTAAAGATTCTGAGAAGTCCAGCAAAAAAAGTATACTTGAGCATCTTCCAGATTTATTTGGTCATATACTTTTCTTCTGTAGTTACATGTTACAGAATTGTTCATTGAAATACTCATTGTATATAATTTCTAGAAATAAAAGCAAAAACAAGAACCACAAGTTTATAGAAAGAATACTTGAAATTTTAAGAGGAAATTAAAAAGCAAGCAAGCAATTTTGACTTGATAATGTCTTTTTATAGTTGTTTTGTTTGAATCAAGATACATAAATATCAACTATACTTTGGTTAATTTATTTATTAAATCTCTTTTAGTCTGAAACAGTTTTGCCTCCCTCTGCTCTTCTTTTTTCCCCTATGACATTTATTTGTTGAAAAGACTGAGTAATTTATCCTTTATTTTGATTTTACTGACTGCTTCTGGTGAAGAAGTATTTAGGACTGGAAATAAAATTTTTGCTGCATTATCTCCAGAACTATACAGTATGATCCTTGAAAGACTGCATTTTATCTGCTGATTTAATTTTTTGATTGAGTGAAATTTGTTCATTTCACCATAATTTCTTTAAACTGTTGAACAGAAAAGAGCCTGATGGCAATCTTCCTGAACTATTTCCTTTAATGTAAAATCTGCATGTTACATGTTTTTGTCTACTCTCCTAAGAAAGTGGTAGAGTTTAAATGTGAGCAAGTGTTTTATTGTACATTCAGATAGGAAAGCTAGTAAGTTTGATGGAAATCAAATCTTGAGCTTTATATTTTAAATATATAGTTTAAAAACTAAGAAGTAAAGCAATTTTTACAATTAAAAAAGTTTAAAAACTAAAAATATGTTTTGTAAAGTGTTTTGCCGTTTCTTCATGGTTTATTCTAGGCAATACAAGGACCTGTGGAATATGAGTGATGACAAACCCTTTCTATGCACTGCCCCTGGATGTGGCCAGGTAATATATCAATTACTTTAAAGTCATTTTGTATATTCTTGTTTATTAAAATATTGATGACAGAATATGTTGTTGTTAAATGGATTTCTTAATATTTCATAACATTTTAGAGTTAGAATGCAAATATCTCAGAAAACTTCTGGAAAGCAATTCTTTTTCTTCAACAGCACACCTCAGTTTTAGAAAATATAGTGTAATGAGAGGAGGGCAGTATTTTGTAATGGAAAGATGAAAACCTTGGTCAAAAATCCAGGATTTAAAAGTACATTAATTGATCATTGGTTGAAAATCATTAGTAAAATGCCTAATTAAGAATCAGGCGTACAGTGCTTGCTTTGGCAACACATATACTAAAAATCAGGCATACATTGTCTTATATAAGAGTTGTTTTACATATTGAACTTTTATAAAACTGATTATTTACCTCTTACAGTATCACTAATGTAGTAATGTCTAATATCCTCAGTATTGAGCATGTGTGGAAGCAATTTTAGAAACTAGAATCTCACCCTTTTATTAGATCATTAAATTATTAATCTGTTATAATTTTCATAATCTTAAAATTACTAGATAGTAAAGAAGAAAATAAATTTAAATGTGTAATAAAATTACAAGTACTAAAACTATATAGACTATAACTCGAAGCATTAAAGTATTCCATTGGTTCTCATTTATTTTCTTTAAATTGAGATATAATAAATTATAATTACAGTATATAATTTGATATTTATATTACTTACATTTTATATTTGAACACATAAAATAGTCATGACAGTCAAGATATTATGAATATGCTTATTGCTTTCAAAAGTATCCTCTCGTCCATTTGTAACTCCTCTTACCTTATCAATTTTCTGTCACTAGATTGATTTGCAACTTCTAGAATTTTATATAAATGGAATTATATGGTATATAAATTTGGCTATTTCATAATTTATGATTTATCAATTGTCTTACTCTTATTTTCTGTTGCTATAAGGATACTGGGTAGTTATAAAGAAAAGAGATTTATTTAGCTCATGATCCTCGAGGCTGGGAGACCAAGGTTAAGGGGCCAAATCTAGTGAGAGCCTCCTGCTAGGAGGGACTTTCTGCAGAATGGCTAGGCATTGCTGCATATTACGTAGCAAGACAAAGTAAGTTTGCTCTCTTGGGTCTCTCTTCTTCTTGTAAAGCAAGTTGTATCATGTGGAACCTACCTTCATGACTTTATCTAACCCTAAACCTCCCCAAAGCCCAGCCTCCAGATACCATTAACATATGATATTAAGAATTGTTTCTAACACATGAATTCCTAGAGATACACCCAAACCGCAGTATACATGATACACAATCAGTATAGTTCATTTCTTTTCATTATTACACAGTTTTTACATTCACCTGTTAATAGACATTTTGGTTATTCCCAGTTTTTAGTTATTACACACAGCTGATGTGAATATCTGTGTACAAGTATTTTTCATGATCACTAATACAACTGGTATGAATGTTTGTATACCTATATTTTATTTCTCTGAGATTATTACCCAGAAGTGTAAAGATAGAATCCTGTAATAGAAACATGTTTAACCTTTTTAGGAAATTATGAAACTGCTTTCCAAAGTAGATGTGTCCCTTTACGTTCCCATCAGCAGTTTATTAAGAAGTTTATGCCATATCTTTGTCAGCCTTTTAAATTTTACTCAGCTTGTACTTGTATAGAGTAATATCTCATTGTGGTTTAAATTGTGTTTCTTGGATGACTCATGAAAAGGTAAACACTTTTTCAAAATGCATTTATTAACCATTTGTATGCTTTATTTTTATCAATTATCTTTTCAAAACTTTTGCCTGTTTTTTAAAAATTGGGTTGCCTTTTACTTATTGGTTTGTAGCAGTTCTTTATATATTCTGGATACTTGTCTTTTATCAAATATTTTTCAAGTCTGTGGTTTGCATCTTAATTTTCATAATAGTGTCCCTTGATACATACAGGTTTTTAACTTCAATAAAGTCAGATATATTAATTTTTCTCTTTTATGGTTTTTTTGCTTTCTGTGACCAAAGAAACTTTGATTGCCCTTAGGTCACAAAGATACTCTTTATGTTTTCCCCTAAAACCTTGTTTTTTCATTTAGGGCCTCTGTGCCATCTTGAATTAATTTTTGTATGATGTGAAGTAGGTAAGAGTTGAAGCTAACTTTTTAAAAAAGATACAGCTTTTCAGGCAATCTAGCTTTGCATCAAAAAGATTTTTCTTTTTCCAATGAATTGTTTTGGTTCCTTTATGAAAAATCAAGAGAGTATATAGTTATGATCCCTTTCTGGGCTTTGCTATCTGTTTCATTCAGCAGTGTCAGCTTTTTTGCTATTACCACATTAATCTTGCTTGCTTTAGCTTCATAGTAGCATTGTAGTCTAGTCAGATGAGCTCTCCATTTAGTTCTCTTTTTTAAAGATTGTTTTGGTTTGTCTTTTAATTTTTAGTGATTCTGATGGACATGTGGTATCTCATGATGTAATTTACTTTCTTTCTGATATTGAGCAAGGTAAAGAAGAGAGTTATCAGGTTTGATATTATTTTAAATAGGTTGGTCAAGAAATGCATTTCTAGTAAAGTGACAGTCGAACCAAAGACATGAAAAAATTATGAGTGCATGCTTTATATGTATTTCTATTGGTGTTAGAGGATATAATGATCAATGAGGAGCAGGATAAGAAAATAATCAGAAATGGGAAAAAGAAGATAATATTCTGTAGGGCTTTATAGACTATGTGATAAAGTGTTTAGGTTTTATTCACAGAACCTTTAGAAGCCATTCCTTAGTTAAGTAAAGTGGAAACAGGAAGTCTAGATGCCAGCAGCAGTCCAGATGAGAAGTGGAATACGGGTTTTGGGCTAGGTAGTGTTAATGAACATAGAAATAGACTGACAGAGCATCTGTTTTGGAGATATAGGGGATATACTTTTTTTTTAATAAAGTAGAGACCTAAAAAAAGTGCAATTCTCAGAATCCTTTATTGCTGGGATTCTGAATATGACTTTAGGTTTCACTAACCAGATTTAGTCTTTTTGCTAAATCAGATTTAGTTTCACTTCATAGATTTAGTGCTAAGTTAAATGGAGAGACAGGTGGTATTATTCAAGTCATCCATTTTGCTGGTTTGTATTGAATACACACAATATCATTTGTACTCTCTGGATTATAGCTGTGTTAGCTTTCTGTCACTATAAAAAAAATACCTGTGATACCAACTTTAAAAGAAGAAAATTATATTTTGGTTCACAGTTTCGGAGGTTCCAGTTCTTGATTAGCCTTGTTGCTTTGGGCTTGTGAAAGGTAGCAATTTTTGGTAATAATGGGAGGCAAAGCAAAAGCATTCACATCCTGAGTCAGGAAATGGAGAAAGAAGAAGGTGCTAGAGTCTCACAGTCCCCTTCACAAGACACTGGAACTGATTTAAGCACCTCCTTCAAGCCCCACCTCTGAAAGGTTCCACTACTCCCAGTAGTGCTGCTCTGAAAGCCAAGCTTTTAACACTTGGGTTTTTGAAGGACAGTCAAGATCCTAACTATAGAAACAGCTAATACAGTTGTTTCTAGAACCCGTTTTTGGACAGTGACCAGTTTTACTATGTTTCAGGAGTTATTCTTAGAGACCCTACCTCAAACAGCCCTTGCCTAATGCCTTGTCCTAATTCTCTTCTGCTTAAAATGATTACAATGGTATCTGTTATTTGGATTGACATGCCCTTTTTTTTTTCTATTTTAGTTTTTTGAGATGGGGTCTTAGTATGTGATCTAGGCTGGTCTTGTACTCACTATCTAACCCAGGCTGGCCTCAAACTCATGGCAATCCTCCTGCCTCAGCCTCCTGAGTGCTGGGATTACAGGCGTGCACCACCACACCTGACTTGATATACCATTTTTAATAAAAAGCATTATGTTTAAATTTATTTAAATAGAAGGAAAACCAATTGCAAAACATTAGAATATATGTACCATAAGAGATTGTTTCTTTAAAGAACTCTCTAATAATAAAGAAATAATATATGAAAAGTACTAACAAGTTAGAATTATGTTTTAGACTTCCCACTATGAAAAAATATGGCATTCATTCTTTTTACACCTTCTTTTGGGGGAGTGATACCTGGGATCAAATTTGGGACCTTGCGCTTGTGAGGCAGGCAGCAGAACCACTGAGCTAAATCCTTGGCACTTACACCTCCCTTTTTATATCCTTTGCTGTCTGATAATTATTCTGTTATTACATTGTGAAGGTTTATCATACTTATTTATTGTCTTATAATCATTTCTCATATCTATTAAAATAATAATGAAGAATAAGAACAAAACTTTTGGGGACTCCCGTATTAACAGTCATAAAGAGGGTGAAGGTGTAGCACGGGGAAGCTAAGACAGGAGCCAGGAAAATTGTATGTTGAAAGACAAGTAGAAAATATCTTTCAAAGTTAGGAGGAAAATGTAGTCATTTTGTGATAAGGGAATTCAGTCTTTACTACTGGGTTTAGGAATAATAAAGATTTTTGAATAGTTGGATTTTTGGATAAGAGTAGCTTCAGTAAAACAGTAGGGACAACTGTGTGGTTGGAGTTGGTTGGAAACAGAATGAGAACTGGAAGTGGAGTCATTGTAAGACAGATAACTTCTTGAAGTGTAGCTTGAAGGAAGCAAGAGTGTGACACGTAGCTGGAGACAGATGTAGGATTGAAGATAGAGCTTGCTTGTTTTGCATTTCAAGATGGGAATATTATAGTGTATTTGTCATTGCAGAGAGAAGGGACTGTTGGAGGAATGGGGTCCTGAAATAGGAGAAGAGAATGGCACCCATAACTCAAGTGGCAGGACTGGCCTCAGATTGAACCTTGAACAGTTTGTTTATAGTAATTCAGATTGAAGAGAGGGGAAGAGATGTGGAAGATTTGAATAGCATATCAAAATTTAAATGTACAAGCATATTTTTGAACAAAAGATAATACCTTTTGAGGCAAGGGCACAT